TCCGCTTCTCCTTCTTCTTCTTCTGCTTCTTCTTCTTTTTTTTTTATAATAGTCAAGTATTATTATAGAAAGGTGGTAGAGCCAAAATTAGAGGCTAGCTAGCATAAAATAAAAACAGAGGGCAGGGGAGGAAGTGATAACATATCCAGCCTTTTGAGCCTATTTGCTATAACGATGCCTTCCCATTCTCTAAACAAACCCAAACATCTGTATGTAAAACTTGTTTTCATTTGTGCTCAATCATAGAACCAGACAAAGAAGAAGGTGATTTTCCTTTCCATCATTTCATGCCACAACAAATAATTAAAACGAAAACGAAAAAACTGAAAAGATATTCAAATTAAAAGTATTATAAGAAATTCCTTTAGTTTCATGCCACTCCCCTTACGAAGCCCAAGGTCTAGCCCATTTCTTTTTAACTATTACCTTTGGTGGGATTTAATTGTTTGTTTGAGAAAATTGAAGAGGAATTTTCATGGATTTAAAGATTTCGAGGTGTTATTAAACCCGGTATAGCCTCACGGATCAACTTAATGATATGAAGATTTTAGAATTTGATTCAAATCAAGTTTTATTATTAAATTAAGTGGAAGTTGACTTTATCAAACTATATCAATTTAGCATATCAATCTAGTATTTAGTTAAAATTCAAGTGAAACAAAATTTATCTTTTAAAATATTTTTTAAAATGATGTTATTATAATTCTTTTTTAAATATATATCTTAATATAATATTATTTTAAATTGAATCACACGACCAAACTAATATAGGTTTTATAAGCATAGATGAGAGACAAAAAGATAAAAAAAAGATAGACAAAGCAAGCCTGAAAAGTAGTACAATAAAAAAGTAGTATAATAAGAAACAATAATGAGAGAAAGATGAGAGAACATATGTGTACCAATTTTTATAAACTTATGTTACGAAGTTATGGTTATTAATATTAAATTCAAAATACATATTATTGCACGTAATTAAATATATTACATAATTTAATAATGCTGATTAAAACTGTATAAAACTGTATGGTAGAAAAAAAATTGAATTGCATAAAAGTAATTAACCGAAAAAGAACTTGTATTCTTCTTATAAAGCTACCCTATATCAGTTTTTTTTCTAAAGAAAAGAAAACATGAATAAAAGGTTACTGCTAGGAAGCTCACTTTGCATGACGATGATGGAAATGAAGGACTTTCTACTTTTTTTATGGAAATAACGTGTGGAAAATTATGCTTTAATTTTAATGATGATGGCAAAATCAAACAGTATCGTTGATAAAATGAACCACAAATGATAATATTTATAAAATACTTCTTGTCATGACAATAAGTCTTCGTCTTCTTCTTTTCTAAAGTAATTATCAATCTATTTTTTGTAACACAATTAACAAGTAAGATGGATAGGAATTTGCAGTGTGAAATGAGTCTGTAAGACTATTGCCATTTGCATTTTTTCCACGATATATGCAATGGAATGGTCCACAAGACCATTGCTATCAAGCGTTTTTTCTACGATATGGGTCCATGAGACCATTGCTCCATAAGCTTGGGGATGGATAATATGCTTTAATTTCAATTTAGTTCATAAAAAACATTAAATACTTAACCATAAAAAATAAATCTCAAGTGTTAGAATGCAACCCTCGGTTAATTAATGGACAGTGGACCTTAGATAATTAATATATGACGCATCTTTCAATGGAAATGTAAATGTAAATGCTTTACTAGAATATCATTTTTTTTTGTATTTGTTTTTTTGGTTATATTTAATTTTTCACTAATATTTCTAACGTAAATTGCTATATATTTTAAATCTTGAAGGATTGAGAAATGGGATACAGGAAAGAAAGAGAGACAGGACATTTCAAAAAAAAAAAGAGCAATAGTGAGAGAGCAAAATTAAGTGGAGCAGTTTTTGTTAAATAAATAAATTTTATAATTACTAATATTAAATTCAAAATATGTACATATTGCAAATATTTCAACATAGTATATGGTTTAATAGAAATGATTTTTATAAACATATATAGCTTAACAACATTAATCAACTCTTAATATCTTTCATTTTATATATATTAAAAGTAAATATTAAAACCTATTTTATTCATTTGTGAAAGTATCCATTAACTGGGATGTGAATTATATTTCTAAAATGTTTTTCTTTTTAATTTTATACACTGCAATTAAGGTCATATTCATCAGGACCATGTATAGAGTATAAAAAAAAAATTTGAATGGCATAAAAGCACTTAACTTATATTCCTAATCATTGACCCCAAGTCAAGTCATATATATATATATATAATCTCGAAACATCAAGCTAAAATACTCCAAAACCAAAACATTATGTTCCCATTGATAAAATAAACTAAAAGCCTAAAACTTCTTGCTGCCATTTGCAAGAGATAGTCACTTATTATTAATGTTTTTATTATTCCATAGTTACTTTAAGTAAATCTTACGTTTATTAGAAAAATCAATGTAAATAAATTTATGAACACACACTAGTTTATCAAGTACTTAAATATAAAAATAAAATCAATTAAATTACTTGAATAAAAAAATATAAAATATAAATATTTTGTATATTCCTATTATTGATAAATTAAAAATAAAATAAAATCAATTCAGAATCATCTAAAAAAAGTTTATTATGACATCATCATGCCCTTTTTTTTTTTCTCAGGAGATGGGGCCATATACTTAGGGCTCTAAAATCTAAGGTATGTGGACCTTTAAGTGCTACCCATTTTACTACATACTACGTAGACTAGATATTTATCCATCGTTGTATCACCATGAGTTATATTTTTTAAAATAAAAAAATTATACATAATTTTTTTAACATGTTTTTTATTTAAAAAATTAAGTGAAAATAAAAAAAGACTTTATACACAAATATAATCAAATAAATAAAAAAATTATAAGTCTTAATAAATGAAAACATAACCATAAATAATGACTCAAAATAAAAACTAGAAAAATTAAAAGACAAGTGAAGATCAAAATATTATAAAACTTATGGACAGATACTAGTTTGTTAATTCTAAAACACACTAGAATAAGTAATTAAATAAAAAAAGAAATTAATACATATACTCAAATAAAAAAATCTCATAAGATAAATAATAAATCTTACAAATTAAAAAGTTAAATCAGAATAAAATTAAAAAAATATATAATTTCATAAATTATCTTAAATAAAATACATAATAATTAAAATAACAGAGACTAAAAAAAATTTGACAGATAAATGTTTTTTGAAAGATAATGAAATTAAAAAAATAATTATAATTTTATAAATTATTTCAAATAAAATAAATAATAATTAAAAAAATTAAATCTGATAGATAAAACCTTTAATTAAAAAAAATAAGAAAAAAATAAATGACAATAAAAAAATAAGATTCAAAGTTGATATAAAAATAAAATAAAATAAAATTATAAGAAATAAAATTAAAAAAATACAATAAAATATATATCAATCAAAAGTATAATAACTAAATTTTTATTATTATTTTTTTTTTCAAAAATATATTCCGATTTAAAGTATTATTATAAAAAGAAAGAAAGAGATTAAGATAAATGTTAAATGTATCAACTCAGATATTGTGAATTATGTACTAAAAGTAGCTATTCTACACGCGGGGATGGGAGACCGTTGCCATCATGCAGTTTTTTCCAACGCTCTCTACTTGCCAGATAATCGTTTCCAAGAGGTGGGCCCGTGGAGTCCTCTATAAATTAAAGCCTCAACCTCCTCGCTAGCTGTCCTCCATAACAAATATTGATCCAACCGTAAATTCCAGGAGGTTTCTATTTTGATATTAAGATGTTGACGGTCCTGTTAGTCATTCTGACGGTTTCGCTGCAGGGATGGCTGCCTCTTGGCTGCCTGGAGGAAGAGAGGATCGCTCTCTTGCGCCTCAAACATTCTCTCAACTATCCCAATGGCACCTCCCTTCCCTCCTGGATAGAAGCTGACGCTCACTGTTGTTCTTGGCAACGTATTGCCTGCAGCAGCAGTACAGGTCGAGTCACCGAGCTCCATCTTTTGGGCGTGAGGAACGAGGAGCCGGGGGATTGGTACCTAAACGCCTCCTTGTTTCTTCCTTTCCAACAACTCAACACTCTCTCCTTGTACCGTAATCGAATAGCTGGCTGGGTTGAGAAGAAAGGTTTGCTCTCTTAAGTATTACAAAATATTTATATTAGTTTTGTATTTTTTTTAGAATTAATCAAATAAGGTGTTGTTTTATTAGTATCATATTGGTTCTCTATCCAAGAAAATAGAAATCATATTTAGCAATAAGATGTTGTTTAATTTTTTACATTATTATAATCATGACATCATCATTAATGGTAACAATTATTCCTTTCTCTTTCACCATCTCAACCTCTTTACATAACAATTACTTACCTCTTTATAACCATCTAGGTATTAGTCAAGTAATAAAAATTTAGAATTAAAAGATTTATTTTTTTTAATTTCAAATTTAAATTTTTAGTTATTTATATGATAGTCACTGAAGACTTACATGGTCATTAACTTCAGGATCCATGAAATTAATCGTGAAACTATCAAAATTTTATTTTTTATCAATCATAATTAAATTACTCCAATAATATATTTTTTATTCTTTGCATGAAATCTTAATTTTATTCTTTTATTTTATGTAGGTGGTTTTGAACTATCAAGATTGAGCAATTTGGAGATCCTTGACTTGGGATTTAATCGCTTCGATAACAGTATTTTATCATCTATGAAGGGGCTTTCATCTCTTAAATTATTATATTTAGATTATAATAGACTGGAGGGGTTAATAGATTTGGAAGGTTAGTTTTTTATATACTATTATTTTTATAAATATTCAATTTAATTAACACAATTATCTATTAAATTTAATTTTGGAAAATACAATTTTTGTGTTGTAGTGAATTAATTAGCTATTTTTTTATATATATAAATATCAAGAATCTCTAAGCAGCTTGGAGACATTATGCTTGGGCGGCAACAATATTAACAAATTGATAGCCTCAGGAGGTAATTAGTAACACATTCACATTACCTACCTATTAGCGTCATGATGATGAGCCCATCCAACCATATTAATTATCTTCGCTTTTGTATGTTTCTTCCTTGACAAACTTGCAGGTTCAAGCAACTTGAGTACTCTGTGGCTAGGTAATATCACAACCTATGGAAATAGCTTCCAGTCACTAGGATCATTCCCAAACCTCACAAGACTTGATCTAAGCTACAACAATTTCAGAGGAAGAAAATTAGGTGACGGTAAGTTATATATTTTAAATATAGTGATGATTATATAATATTTGAGATTAATTCAAAAACTCTACTTTTGAACAAACAGAGTTGCAAAATTTAAGCTCATTGGAAAGTTTGTATCTGGATGGTTGTTCTCTAGATGAACACTCCCTTCAAAGCCTTGGAGAAGCACTGCCTTCTCTAAAAAATCTGTCATTGCAAGAACTTAATGGCACTGTATCTTATACAGGTAAATTAACAAATTTGAACTCCATTATTACTTATCATTGACCTTTCATTTTCTATGCCTGCTAATTGGAATTAACTTAATTGAAATCTTTATTATTTTAAAATTCTACCATCTATTTAATATAAATAATATTTCAATTATATTTCCCTCCCTCTCTTTCTCAACACCATTTCAGTGTAATGTAAATAAGTTGATAACATAAGAAACAATAATTTCTTTAATGAAAAGGTAACTTCATATACAGAGAGTGCTATTTTTAGGAGGAGAATAAATTAACAATGGCGTATTTTTATTTTTGGGGTCAGGTGTATAGAAAATCCTTCTCTTAAATAAACAGTATAATTTCTACACTTACCTTATGTTTTTAGTTTTTTTAGCTATGATTAATTCGTAATGAATTATTTCTAATTTTAATTCCTTCTACACTAATATAATTTCTTGTTTAATTGATGGTAGCAGGCTTCCTTGATCTTAAGAATTTGGAATACTTAGATTTGAGTTACAGTACTCTCAATAATAATATCTTTCAAGCCATCAGAACGATGACCTCTCTTAAAACTTTAAGGTTGCAAAGTTGTAATTTAAATGGCAAAGTTGTAATTTAAATAGCCATTTACATTACACCATTTTAGTGTAATGTAAATAAAATTATAACATAAATAACAATAATTTCTTTAATGAAAATGTAATTTCATATATAGAGAGTGCTATTTTTAGAGGGAGAATAAATTAATTATGGTGTATTTGTTTTTGGGTCAGACTTATAAAAAATCATTCTCTTAATTGGACAATGCAATTTCTACACTTTCATGTTTTTAGTTTTTCTAGCCATGATTAATAAGTAACATATTATTTCTGATCTTAATTCCTTTTACGTTAATATAATTTCTTGTTTAATTGATTGTGACAGGCTTCCTTGATCTAAAGAACTTGGAATACTTGGATTTAAGTTACAGTACTCTTAATAATAGCATCTTTCAAACCATCGAAATGATGACCTCTCTTAAAACATTGAAATTGAAGGATTGCAATCTAAATGGCCAAATACCTACAACCCAAGGTAAGGTTGATCACTCTTGCTCTTTCATTTCCTTTATAATTAATTACTTTTACAGGATTATAATTTCTAGATTGTGGCAGACTTCCTTAATCTCAAGAACTTGGAATTCTTAGATTTGAGTTCCAATACTCTCGATAACAACATCTTACAATCCATTAGAACAATGACCTCTCTCAAAACTTTGATTTTGGAGAGTTGCAAACTAGTTGGCCAAATACCTATAGCTCAAGGTAAGGTTGATGACTTTTATTTTCTCTTAAGGTTATATATTTTCTAATAGACACTCAGAGTTTTATTTTTTCCTAAATTATAATGTGATCAGGCCTATGCGACTTAAATCATCTGCAACTGCTAGATATGAGTAACAATGATCTCAGTGGTTTCTTGCCTCCATGTCTGGCAAATTTGACTTCCCTTCAACAATTAGATCTCTTTTCCAATCACTTGAAGATCCCTGTGTCATTGAGCCCATTATACAACCTTTCAAAACTCAAGTCTTTTGATGGTTCAAGTAATGAAATATACATAGAAGAAAATGATCATAATCTGAACCCAAAGTTCCAGTTAGAGTTCCTCTCTTTGAAAGGTTATGGACAGGGTGCGGGAGCATTTTCCAAGTTCCTTTACCATCAGGCGAACTTACAATATATGGATCTTACAAACATCCAAATGAAGGGAGAGTTTCCAAATTGGTTGATTGAGAACAACACATACCTACAAGAACTTTATTTAGAAAATTGTTCTCTTTCAGGTCCATTCTTATTGCCAAAGAATTCTCATGTGAATTTATCCATCCTAAGTATATCCATGAATCATTTCCAAGGCCAAATCCCTTCAGAAATCGGAGCTCGTTTGGCAGGGTTAAAAGTTTTATTTATGTCTGACAATGGTTTCAATGGAAGCATTCCTTTCTCGTTGGGTAACATTAGCTCGTTGCAAGTGTTAGACCTGTCCAACAACAGCTTGCAAGGGCAGATCCCTAGATGGATAGGGAATATATCTTCTCTTAAATTCTTGGACTTATCAGAGAACAATTTCTCTGGTCGTTTACCACGTAGATTCGACACTTTTTCAAATTTGAGATATGTTTATTTATCTAGAAATAAGTTGCAAGGGCCGATCACAATGGCATTTTATGACTCCTTTGAGATATTTGCATTAGATCTTTCCCATAATAATTTAACTGGTACAATTCCAGAATGGATTGACAAGCTATCTAACTTGGGATTTTTACTCTTGAGTTATAACAATCTTGAAGGTGAAATCCCAATTCAATTATCCAGGTTGGACCAATTAGTCCTGATTGATCTTTCTCACAACCACCTTTCTGGTAACATCCTCTCTTGGATGATACCTACTCATAATTACCCAGTAGAAAGCACTTACTTTGATTTTCTGGCCATATCTCAACAATCCTTTGAGTTTACAACGAAGAATGTATCCCTTTCTTATAAAGGCAACATTATTTGGTACTTCAAAGGAATTGATTTCTCATGCAACAATTTCACAGGAGAGATTCCTCCTGAAATTGGAAATCTTAATATGATCAAGACATTAAACCTTTCGCACAACAGTTTGACCGGACCAATTCCACCAACATTTTCGAAGTTAAAGGAAATAGAGAGCTTGGATCTTTCCTACAACAAACTGGATGGAGAAATCCCACCTCGACTTATTGAACTATTTTCTCTAGAAGTTTTTAGTGTGGCTCATAATAATTTGTCCGGTAAGATTCCTGTGAGAGTTGCACAGTTTGCCACGTTTGATGAGAGTTGCTACAAGGACAACCATTTTCTTTGTGGAGAACCGCTAGCCAAAATATGTGGTGCGGCTATGCCACCATCACCAACACCAACTTCAACGAACAATGAAGATAATGGTGGCTTCATGGATATGAAGGTTTTCTATGTGACCTTTTATGTTGTATATATCATGGTGCTGCTGGTGATAGGTGCAGTTCTATATATAAATCCATATTGGCGACGAGCTTGGTTTCTCTTTATTGAGGTGAGCATCAACAATTGCTATTATTTTCTAGTGGACAATCTTTCCATTGTATACAAGTTTGGGTTTTCATAGCCTTGATGGTACCAAAACTTGGTGCATCATTGTGTATTCTAGTTTTAAGATTTAAACAAGTTCAAATGCATGCTCATGTTGTATTAATTTATACAATTCCATTCGGTTTCAAGGGTTTTTATACAGTAGGGACTTTTAAATTCCATGAGTTTTTACCTCCCTTGTATATTACATGATTACTTGATTTTCACGGATGATCTATTCAAATTTACAACACAAATATCCAAAAATATTTAATATTAAAGGGAATATATTCCAACACAATTATCAATCCAAATTTATTTCACTGATTGTATGGTAAAAAAAAATTGCAATTAGAAGGACAATACTGACCCCACCAAAACTAAAAGGATAATATGATAAAAAAATAATTCAAAACAAGTAGATCAAATTCAAAACTGCCAAAAACTTTCAATATCAAAGTTATTCTATAGATGTTGTATTCGCGCGTGTTTGAAATATAGTGTTTGTTCTTATGAAAACTAGGATGAAAAGCAAGAGCTATTTTTTTCTTGAAATATGGAAAAATAAAAGTTTAATAATATTAACTTCACAGTAAAAGATATTTTCAAATCAGTTTACAAATTTTTGTTATAGAAAATGGCAACAAAATGGAAGAGGCAACTTTTTTTATGAATCTGTGCCATCATCAACTAATATTAGTGGATTTTGACCCTTTTTGTTTGCCTACAAATCTGACCACAATTGTCCTTAGAATCTTGTTGTTTTCAAATTATGGCATTCAGACTACTGAAAGGACAAAGCCTCAAATTGTTAACGTTCAATTCTGTTCTTTCTTCTTTCCCATCCATTTAAAATTCTAGCTCGTTTACTTGTGGAATATTCCTGAATTTTCTAGAAATGTTTAAAGTTGAAGAAGAAGAAGAAGATGCAAGCATACTTGAAATTTTGCAAAATCAATGGCTAGATACCCATATACACTTTGAAACTTCTGGCGCGCCACATATATCACTCGTGAAAATTCACATTTCTGCATGGAAATCTCAATATGATCGAAGTTTTCATGGATTTGAGCACAATTCTATGATTTATCGTTGGTAACTCTCTAAATGGGGGTCCATAAGTTTGGGCCTCAGCTTTTGTTGGAAGAATCATACCCAACAAAGAACAAAATCACGAAGCATTCAATATAAGGTCCAATAAATTTTGATAAGCAAACACGAGATTTATGATACAGAACCCTAATGGAGCTCTAGTAACAAATTCAAAAATTAAAAATGTTAAGCAGCACGAATCGCTAATTATTAATGTACAAATCTTTTAACTACAAAATATTGTAAATGGGGAACACTTTCATCATTTCATTCGTTGATTCTGTTTCTGGTTACTATATGCACTTCACCAAAGGTTCCTACTTTATTAGCTAGAGCATAAACAATATTCACCTATAGATATTCATACTTGTTTGGTAATAATTTTTTACTATATGCATTTCATCAAAGTTGATGCTGTGAATAAAATCCAGGATTCTCAAGCTTTAAAATTATAGAAATAGAAAAAATTCTGAGTTTTTTTAACTAAAGTAAACTTGTGTTAGGAAGTTATTCTCATAACCCAATTTTAGGTTATTCCTTCAAAATTAAATTGTTTTTCAAAATAAAATCAAAAAATAAAATAAAAGCTAGCAACGTGGAGAAAGTAGACTGGAAAATCAAGTTGTAATTTTTTTGAGGAAATTCAAGACCTAATTGTGCCCCATTATACCCAAAAATAAAAAAAATGCAAACTCAAGGTTAAATTAAATGATTATTGGATAAATTTATAAAAAAATTAAGTCCAATGCCATAATTAAATTTTTAATAGGCCAATTTGAGTTAATCACGGGCCAAATTAAATTTTAATTATGTTTAAGAATTAATGTGGTTCCAATTAAAGGATTTAATTAAGTGCAAGGACTTAATTATACTTTTAAAGGACCAAATTAATTTTATTTGAGGTTTAATTGGTGAAAAATTAAAGGGGGCCCAATTTTGGCTTAATTGAGAATATTGAAATTTTAAGAGACCAAATTTAATTTTTACCAAGTTAATTGATTGAAAGTAGAGGTCAAATCACAAGAAAATTAAAGTTTTGGGGTCAATTAGAGGTTAAGTTGACAAAATTCAAAGTAAGGACCAATTTGCAAAAGGCGCCAAACTGTAGGGATTTAATGGACAAAATCCAGGGGTCAAATTAAAGAAATTGAAAGTTTAATAGTCAATTAGGGGTTAAATTGACAAAGTCCGAGGCCAGGGATTATAATGCAAAAGGCGCGTGCATTCAAGGCTAAAGTTGAAGTTACATCAAGACCAAATTACATTAAATCAAAGGTTTATGGTCAATTAGGGATTCTATTAAAAGAAATTGAAAGTTGGAGGCTTAAGTTGAAAAGTAGCAAAATCCCTAATTTTAACCCAAAACGATGTTGTTTTCTTCAAAATAAAAGACAAGGTGATACTGTTCATCATCCTTCCCGTGAAGCAGCCAGGGTAGCCATTTTATGGGAGTGTTTAATGCCTCATTTGGCCCTTAAAGTTTACAAAGAATGCACCAAAATGACCACTTAAAGCCCCTCTATCCCCAAGAAGTGTCCGGTCGGATTTATAAACTTCGAAATGGCTCCATTAGCCTGCCTAAAGTGGCCACCTTAAGCAGTCCACAACCTTGGGCTGCTAAATTTGACAGTTCGAGGTGCACACTTTGAACCGATAGCCTAGATTCTTCGAGTCGAATCAAGAGTTAAAATTTGTTCCCAAGCAAAGACAAGATTACCCTCTTCCATCACCTATAAATAGAGGCTCCATTGATGACCTGAGAGGGGAGAAAATCAGGTCCAAAAATCACAAAAAACCAGCCTTCCCTTATTTTCATTTTCCTTCTTTCCCCGCTGACCTTATACAACTCTCCCCACCTCTTCTCCAACTGCCTTCTCCGGCAAGAACACCAACAAAACCGGCCTATACACCACCACAAACACCAGCTCCACCATAGGAAGCCAGCATAACCACCTCTTAAAACTTTATATTTGGGGAGTTGCAGACTAAATGGCAAAATACCTACAACCCAAGGTAAGGTTGATGACTCTTACTCTCTCTAGGTTATGTATTTTCCATTAGACACCCAGAGTTTAAGTTTTCCTAAATTATAATGTGATGTGATCAGGTATATGTAACTTAAATAATCTTCAAGAGCTAGATATGAGTGACAATGATCTTAGTGGTTTCTTGCCTCCATGTCTGGCAAATTTGACTTCCCTTCAACAACTCTATCTCTATTCCAATCACTTGAAGATCCCTATGTCATTGAGCCCATTATACAACCTTTTAAGACTCAAGTCTTTTTATGGTTCAGGTAATGAAATATTCGCAGAATAAGATGATTATAAACTGAGCCCAAAGTTTCAATTGGAGTCCCTCCTTTTGAGCTGTCGCGGACAAGCTGTAGGAGCATTTCCTAAGTTCCTTTACCATCAGGTGAACCTACAATATGTGGATCTTACAAACCTTGGATTGAAGGGAGAGTTTCCAAATTGGTTGATTGAGAACAACACATACCTCAAACATCTTAATTTAGAAAACTGTTCTTTTTTAGGTCCATTTTTGTTGCCAAGGAATGCTCATGTGAACTTGTCATTCTTAAGTATATCCAAGAATCATTTCGAAGGCCAAATCTCTTTAGAAATCAGAGCTTATTTTCCCGGGTTAAAAGTTTTAGACATGTCTAATAATGGTTTCAATGGAAGAATTCCTTCCTCATTGGGTAATATGAGCTCGCTGTACGAGTTAGACCTATCCAACAATGTTTTGATTGGCAGAATACCAGAGTATTTAACAAGGAGTTGCTCTTTGTTAGAAACTCTCATCCTTTCAAACAACAGTTTGCAAGGGCAGATCTTTTCTGAAAATATTAACTTGGAATTCTTGAGATGGTTATAATTGGATAGCAATCAATTTGATGGTATCCTTGATAGCTTATCTAAGTGCTTCTATTTGACAATGTTGGATGTCATCAATAACCATCTCTCTTAAATGATTTCTGGATGGATAAGGAAAATGTCTTCTCTTGAATTTTTGGACCTTTCACAAAACAATTTATCTGGTCCTTTACCACCTAGCTTCGATACTTCAATGTTACAATTTGTTTATTTGTCTAGAAATAAGTTGTTAGGATCGATGGCAAGGCCATTTTATAACTACTCTGAGCTATTGGCATTAGAGCTTTCCTATAATGACTTAACTGGTAGAGTTCCAGAATGGATTGGCAGGCTATCTAACTTGAGATTTCTTCTCTTGATATAACAATCTTGAAGGTGAAATCCCAATTCAATTATGCAAGTTGGACCAATTAACTCTGATTGATCTATCTCACAACTACCTTTCTGGCAATATCCTCTCTTGCATAGTATCTACTGCTTTTTCCCCATCATCAACCAATGCCTATGTTCCTGAGTCCTCACAACAATCTTTCGAGTTTACAACAAAGAATGTATCCCTTCCATATAGAGGCAGCATTCTCCACTATTTTACTGGAATTGATTTCTCATGCAATAATTTCACTGGAAAGATTCCTTCTAAAATTAGAAATCTTAGCAAGATCAAGGCATTGAACCTTTCGCACAACAACTTGGTTGGACCAATTCCACCAGCATTCTCGAGGTTAAAGGAAATGGAGAGCTTGGATCTTTCCCACAACAAATTGAAAGGAGAAATCCCTCCTCAACTTACTAAACTATATTCTTTAGCTGTTTTCAGTGTGGCACACAATAATCTGTCCGGCAAGACACCCGCGAGAGTTGCACAGTTTACCACCTTTGAGGAGAGCTGCTATAAGGACAACACTTTTCTTTGTGGACAACCACTATCCAAAGTTTGTGGTGCGACTATGTCACCATCACCAACACCAACTTTAACGACCAACAAAGATAATAGTGGCTTCATGGATATGAAAGGTTTCTATGTGACCTTTGGGGTTGCATACATCATGGCGCTGCTAGTGATAGGTGCTGTTCTATACATAAATCCATATTGGCGACGAGCTTGGTTGTACTTTATTGAGGTGATCAACAATAATTGCTATTATTTTCTGGTGGACAATCTTCCCATTTTATCCAAGTTTGGATTTTCATAGCCTGGGTGCTTTATTGTGTATTCTAGTTTTAAGATTTAAACAAGTTTAAATGCAATGTTAGATTAATTTTTATTTATGTTTTTTTTTGTTTTTAGCTTCTGTGTGGCATATAATAATGAAGTGAAATAATGAAGTTTCTTCACTGATTGCTCTAAGAATATAATAATGAAGTATATTCTCCATGTTTTGTTTTTGTTTTTGTACATTATTTATAGCATCACGAGTTTTCCTAGTTTCTACATGAATTAATAAGAGGATGTTTTGGTATTCTAGATTGGGTTTGGCAAACTGTATGTTTAAATAAAATAGATTACTAAAAGGGATCGATTTTGATTATAATTTGGTGTGGGAAATTCTCTGCATGCCTACATAGAGCGTGGCTTCTTGAAACTCTAAAAAATATACAGATGTATGCCCAAACCAGTATTGGGCAGATCAAGATAAACTAGGATTGTCGAGGAAGAGGTTGTTCAGGTTAGTCCGAACAGGGTTCTATAATCATTAGTTAAACAATCAACCCTAATCAGAATTTCCCAAGAAAGAATTAACTAATGACTTTAGTTAATGCCGATGAACATGAGTAAATGATTTGCTACAGAGAAAACCATGTATTTAATAACCATTGTTAAGCTACAAGTTCTGAAGCCACAAACCACTCATATTTACTTGGGTTGATCCCAAACTAAGACAAATCTATTTGTCCAGTTCGGAGAACCTTCAAACAAAAAGAAAGTTAAACCTTGTAAAATTGGCTATCATCAAAGGGACAAGAAATAGAACAAGAAGGATCAGCCTCGCATTTCTTACATGAGTAAAAGAATCCACTTGCTTACAGTACGTATAGAATAAGCATTAATAATTACCTTCATCTGAATCACCCGAACTACCTGCAATATATATCATCACATCACGAGGACCAACCTAAGGACAACAAACAAGGATATGGTCAGTTGCACTATCTGAGCAGAACATACCTCTAGCACCAATATTACTCAGGATTCTTTGCTAGTCTTCCAATTTCATTGGTCCTGATGAAGAGGTTACATCATTCATTACTTTTGCACCAAGGTCTGGGACAACTAAGTTTCCTTTCTTGAGTATGAGCAAAAATCTCATCAGAATAAAAGAAAATGGCCACGTAACATATACCAGACCATTTTTTTTTGGTAATAAAAGTGCTCCTTAACCTTTTTGAAGTTATTTCACAATGACTCACAACCATTAATCATCTATATACATAGACAAACACCAAGTTATGATTCTAAATTCCATATAAAAGATGCCCTAATTTTTAGAATTTACCCTGCGAAAGTCTGTGCAAGGGCATAAGGGGATGAAGGGTTTGACAAGGGCTAACGTGGGTGAGATGTTTTTTGTCAAGAAATGATTTTGGAAAATTTATTGATATTTCTCGAATAACTAAGATATGAGTCTTTATTAAGGCAAGAACATAGGTTCTCCAAGATGATTGACCAAAAGGACAGAAGGGAGGCTCATTCTATTCCACTGACTCTTAGTCTCAAAGAATAGAAAATTACTTAGCTCTATATCCTTACTCTTGCTATATCAACCCTTAGAGTTGAAGTATCATCTTTGAGTATGCTTCTTTGTTATAATAAATATACCTTGATGAGATATTATCTTCAAGCATGTCTTCAAAAACTTGGAAATGAGTAGAAGCATCAGGCTCTTCTTCATCAAGGAACTCTGCCAGACAACAAGATAAAGCAGCGACTTTTGATCATCTGTATTGAATTTCAAGATGTAAACTCTTCCCAAAACTTGATTAACCTGAATAACCCAAAGAATTATGAATCTATGATATTACAATCGATTATTAGAGTCAAATATCTCCCATTTAAGAAAAAATTAAGAGCGAAAAGTGTACCTTCTCAAAAACAGCCTCTTCAGAAAAAAATAATCTGATCCTATCAGTCAACATGCCAAGATAAAGCTACCAAGTTCTCACCTCAAAAGAATATTAACAAAACAACCAGCAGAAAAAGAAATAAAAACCAATGTTGGAAGAGAGAAACAAAATCGTCGGGCTAAAAAACATAATAATAACTAGGATACATCTTCCACAACATTCAAATTCCTATCAAGCCACTGGAAATGAAGCAAACCCTCGTCACCCTGGAACAATTCAAAAATTTCAACTTCGAATAGGAAACAAGATGCTAGAAACACACTAACTAGTACTTAAGATAAACGAAAACAACCAAAGTAACTAAAAATCTTTACACATGCACGAACTCTATATAACACAAAAAAAACCAATAGACATCAATTTACCCTTCCAATACGAACAAGTCCCTTTTGAGAATCAGGAACAACCTTTTTTTTCATAGAAAACCATTTTACCAGCATGAAACTCCAACACAATTTCCTACCATCAAAACAACCACAACACCCTAGCATAACCCCATCAAGAAAAATATACTTGTACATCCAAAAAAGCAATTACAGAGAAAAAAATAAAAAATTCATTCTGCATTGGCAATTGTGAATTCAAGATTATTGTTGGGTTACTACGTGTACTATTCATTTTTCTTATAA